CCATATTTAAAACTTATTTTTGCTTTTGATGGCAAAGCCTTTGATCAGCGAATGGAACGTCACTACAATTAATGGTCCATAAAGAGGAGAAAAAAATTGTAGAGGCCATCCTATCTATGTTAAAAAGTAAGCGTGTAATTTCATTGCTACACCCTGCATGTGTATTGATGTAAAGAATGTGCTACCATTATTAAAATTATTTGCCTCCACTAGAGGAGAAAGGAGACTGACTAAGAACTCGGTGCCCTTTTCGGAAGAAAGTTCCTTTATGAAGATAAAAAAAAAAGTCATTTACAGATAAGTAGTAAATCAAGTTAAACAATTTATCGCTGCTATCCATGTTTTCGTGGACGTAACGTGGAACTAGCGTGGCTGTGACACTTTAATGGTCCACTTGACTTTCTGAATAACTCGAAGGGGCCAGTAGTTATGCAGAAATGTAGTGGCCCTTATGCAAATTTTAGATCCCCAGTTTGCTTGCATGGCTATTAGTTCAGTACTTTATTCTCATGTAAAATTTCCTGACATTTCGACGAACGTTATCTGAAACTAATATACTTGTTTTCAGTGAAAATAAAGATAATAAAATGTATCTTTTTCATCTTGGCAAGTTTTTTTTTTCATTTAACTTAATTTTGCGACATTCATATGTGCATAAGAGCAGGGGAAGAGAATAAGAAATATTGGCCACTTGAAGTTGTACTTATAGTAAAAAAACTGTAGAAAAGACTTATTGTACTCCGTCCTCTTGTTTTCTTTGACGCAAATAGAAGAAAAATCAACCGGAGTTTAAGCAAACATGAAAACAAACAATCAAGGAAAAGTTTTCCTGCATATTACAGCCACTGCAAAGGATATTTCTTTTACTTTTCTTCTTACTTATTTTTGATGAATAAGCTTGTTTAGCATTTTATAACTCGTATTTCTTTCTACCTTCATTTTATTTTTTCTTTATTTTTTCATTAAACTTTAAAAAAAGATTTTCTTGGATGAAAAAAATTATTACGCTAATCTTTAAACTGACATACAATTTTTATACACTGAGTACATTTAATGTATAAATCAAATTTATCGTTTGTGTGTATAATTATATACATTAAACCATAGATTCGGTGCAGTTTTCACTTTTGAAGTAAAGGAATATAGCGTAAAATGAGGTAAAAGTTACTTTGGTTTCATCAGGAGTCATAAGCTCTACGTAGCTTCCAAGTGTTAATTGCATTGTTCTCCGTATTCGCTAATAAATCAGCGGCTCTCATTGTACCGTAGAGTAAACAGTCCCAAGTTATTTTACATTCAAATTCACCGTGAGTCACAGTACAGTAGAACAGCGAAACGCACTCGGCTTTTATTTTCCGTTGGATTCGCTCTTCCCTTCTGTATTTTGTATACACTTGGTATTGATGCAATCAACGAGTATTACATGGCTTTGCAGTTATATAACTTCTATTTTGAGTTTCTGATTGATAGGTAATTTGAAATTGACAAATCATGATTTTTTAAAAAATTTTTGTTTGTTTTATGTTTCAAATTATAAAATACACTCGCGAGTTCGCATTTCAATATTTTTTTTATTTTTCAATTCACCAGTTGCACTTATCTGATGAACGTAACCACAGACAGATGTGATGATTTATTCTACATATACCTCACAAAAATCAATTCAATCAGTGATATAATTTATCAAAACCAAAACAATTTGTCTGTTCAAACATTTGCAATGCAAATAATATTTCTCCCTTTGTTGTAACCAAATTGGCACAATAAACACTGCATGATGCGAGGAAAAACGTTCGTAAAACTAAAGAATTAATTGGTTTTGAAAAGAAAAGAGATAAAATCAGTCGATCCGTCCACCCTTCCGTTTCTCGAGAGCAACTGGAGTTGGCTGGCAATCCCACAGCTCCAAGTGCCCATTGGTATGTATAGCTTTATTTCGGATGCATCGATTTAGCATCACCTTTCTTTCTTTCACAATTGGCTGTCCCTCCATGAGCTTAATGATCCTCTATTTATGGGGTAAACGCTATTAGCAAGGAAAAGAAGGAATGGGCTGGACTTTGTTTATAGCGTGGATCTACTCGCTTTTAGAGTGAGATTAATAGCCAACTGTGGATTTTTTGTGAGACCGGGTGAAGGATCAAGTTTTCAGAGATACATGCTCTATAGCCAGGTTTATTCATCGATTGATAATTTAATTCATTTATAGATTATTCATCAAATTTCATGCACTTGTATGTATATGACTGATAATTATCTGTTCGTTGATTAAACTAAGTACATTAGAGTAGTTTATTGAATTTTGTTGGGCAACTCAATTTAAAGAATTTTTTTCTCCCCTTTGTAATAAAAAAAATTTTTTTTCATGTTATTCGTTTGGATGAATTCATACGCTCGAGTCGATGCAGCTGGGTACGTTCTATCGGCTTTTTTTTTAATTTTCTGCGCATCGGTTAAAAGAGAGAAAAATATATACGACAAAGCAGAGAAAGAGGCTGGCTTTTATTTATTTATTCCCTTATATTTCCAATTAAATATTTTTTTTATTTTTTAATTAAAACAATCCTACTTTTGATCAATTCCTGTGAGTAGAGTTTGCGTTGGTGTACATTTTAATTAAGTGGATGGACTAATGTTTACGGTACAAACAGGGCCATTTTTTCGCCAACACAGACACGAACATCTCACGCGAAACGCCTACCATCTATAAATACGGTGGAGAGGGTAAAAGGTACGTCCAGCGCTCGAAAATCCAACCATGTTAAACTTTCTTGCGGTTGATGCTGAGGTAGGTTCCTGCGTCAGCGCGAAAGTGCACCTTTTAAAGTGTAACCGAGAAAATTGGCCCCTCTCACGATAATTACGGCAGAGTGCATGGTACGGATGCATCCGAAAATGAATAGAAACCCTACTACGAAAATATACTTTACAACTTTTGTTGATTCCGATATTTGTGCATTTCTACTAAGAATTGTAAGCTGTTTGAAAAAAAGGTTTTTATAAGTTTTAATTTTGAAAAATAAGAATTTTTTTCCATTTTTGCTGAAAGCAACCTTACGTATACTTTTACTTTTAATTGGCAAGAGCGTAAAGAGCTTTTTATTACGTAACTAGTGCCCTCCTACACTAATTTCAATTGAACTGCGACAATCTTTCGACCGAGACCCGCCTTATTTTTTACCTCTCGTCCCATACCTGCACCACACCATCATTTATTATTTTCAGACGGGGCCCAACGACTGTAACACCAAAATTAAACTTTAGGTGGCATTAAACCATTTTCTGCTTTGTATTTATGTTATGCAGATTCTCGCGTCCCTTGTTTCCTTTTCTGACTCTGAGTAACCGTGTCAGAGCACCGCAGCCGGTACTATTAGATTTGCAAGTTTTTTACTACCGAATGCTATTACACCCTCCTCCGTCATTTACAACTACGTTGGGACGAAAAATCACTTCAAACCCGATTGTGGTAGAATAGGCCAATAGGCCAACACTGTTGAGGTCTCGGTACTTATACGGATACATGATACAATAAAAAAATGAGAAAAATTCGTTGCAAAGATAATCACAGTAAGTTGAAGTAAGGACAATCATTTCCCACATAAAATCAAAGCATTTCAATTAGTGCCTACCACGTAAGTCCCTACGTGTCGTATTTATGTCTATGTATGTAAGTGTATATTGAACATGTGTCGTACTTACCCAAAAAATGATACGTAATTTCTCGTTCAACATCAAAAAAATTTTTTAGTCTCGTCTCGTGTAGAACTTGTCTGGAGGTCTTGAAAAAAAGTCCGAAAAATACTTCAGGGTTTCTTTTTACAACTACAAAAGTTCCGATTTACAAAAAATCAGAAAATGATATCCTAAGATTAGAAATGGACAAGACCGAATTTTTTCAGATAGATAAATATTTATTTGTTCCAATTGTTGAAAATTATACTGGGGTATTGAAATTTTTAGGAAGTGAAATAATTAAGTCCTCTTTCTTTTTCGCTAAAGTATTATTGTAGTCATAAGGTTTCCCATTTTAAATAATACACCTAACTTTGGCTATTAGTAAAAAAAAGATCTTTTAAAGTATACTAGCTTACCACAACAAAATAAGACAAAATTAGGTAAGCCATAACAGTTTTGGGGGAAATTCTTTGTTGCGCAAGAGCCTCTGGCCCAAAGTCCCACAGAGTGTTTCTCTCTCTCTCTCTCTCTCTCTCTCTCTCTCTCTCTCTCTCTCTCTCTCTCTCTCTCTCTCTTTCTCTGTCTCTCACACTACAAACTAATGTAAGCTTTGGGAGGTTCAGGCAGATGACTCATATGTTAATGATTGAGGTGATTCAGTTAAACCATTGAGAAAGTACCTATTAAGAAATTAATTAAGAAATTCTTGGACATTGCCTCTTATACAAGGACATACGAGAGCCATGTTTAGTTATATTAGCTGATATCTCTAGTAGTAAGCTTGTTGTATTCAGTTGTCCCTTGCAAGTGTTACATTCACTATCATCGAAAATAATTTCCCAAGTTATATACGTTTGCTGTTACTTGCAAATTTCCATTGCCAAAATCTGCACTTGTGGAACAGTGAACGTCAGAAAAAACAGTCACCTGCAGATACACAAGAGACAAGTAAGTTTTTCTTCAATTTATCTCTTTGCTATACATTTCAATCGTCTATCTGTTCTGTATAAGGGCTTTTCCTTCATTGTTTGCGACGGTTTTTTATTTAATTCGAAAGATGGCTAACATTTTTGTTAAAAATGAAAAATTTAATTATTTATAACATTATTTTGAGTGAAGAATACATCCAACGTAAAATATGTGCGTTCCAAATAGTGCCTTCTATGTATTTACGTGACCTGTTACTTTTGTCTAAATATTTTAGTAAATTAGTACACTAAAGCAACGTTTCCTACACTTGTGCATGTTTGTAAAAAAGTTATCTTAATGCGATTTTTTTATTTGTTAACAGCAAAACAAATCATCTCACAATCGCGTTCTAGTCTAAAATTGTTATAAAAATGAGTAGTAACAATAACATGGACAACCAATCGGACAATAACAACATCAATGTACAGGACAATAATTACAGCGATGATAACAATAACGAAACAAGTGCCAATGAACCAGTACTTCTCCGATTTTGTGCAGATTGCGGTCGTTTGACGGACAACGGGGAACCTAGTTGGGCAAAAGTTTTGTGCGACACGTGCATACTAAACAGATTAATCGCCTTATACGGAACTTTCTAAAATTTGTCAACTATCGGACCTTCTTGTCGCGTGTTTCCGAAATTTTTCAACAAATTATTGCTGGTTACAATAAAATTCTGTAATGAAAAATTTTTGTGTAAATAATAAAAAATTTATTTATTAAATAGTTATGGTGTACTTGAATTTTAATAAACTTTCCTGCAACTGTATATAAAATAGACTGGCTATGTCAAAAAAAGTCATGCATACTATTAGCATATTTAAAAAAATATATATGGACAAATACTTTAACATGATTTTAGGATAGTAATGTTTTTTATTTATGTTTAAAATCAAGCAACTAACTTATATTTGAATGTTGAAACACGTTTTTCGGCAAGTTATTAATGTGCCTTACCTGTCGATCAGCAAACCTATCGTGTTGCTCCAATCGAGCTTGGATATAAATATAGTGTACAAGATGCGTTTCTATCCAACTACAACTACTCCACGTATTTGTTACCTCAAAATGCCGCAGTGGTATAATTTATCGAATTTCGGCCTTGACGAATGTATGTCTCATAGCGCGAATCATGGTGTCTTTCTCGAGCTTGGGTTGTAGAGAAAAGATCAGGTCGTCATCTGCTGTTTGTCCGACTTGAGTGCTCACTCCTATTTTTATTGACTCCTAAATAAATAAATTAAAAAAAAAAAAAAACCTTAACTTCTGAGAAAAATCCTTTGACCAACTGTAAGGGATGGGGTCACAAATTCAACCGAGTATTTATATTCGTCGACTGGGTCTGTGTGGCTCTAAACTGCCCTCTCTTTTGTCGCGTTTCCACCCAGATGACCTCATAGAACACTTCACGAGTATTACTTGTCAAGGACCACCCCTATTACCTGGAGACTTGGCTGAGGTATTAGAAATACCTCTTGATACCACTAGACCAGTTTTTAAATTTTCTTCCATCACAGAAATAGATGTGAAGCGAGCGATTATGCGTGGCAATTCGGGCTCTTGTGGGGTGGACGGCATCTCTTCTGCTATGCTCCGAGTGAGTGCTGAGTCGATTGCCGGACCACTATCATCCTTGTTCAACATTTCTCTATGTGACGGCAATTTTCCTGAGATTTGGAAGCGGGCATTGATCACTGCTCTTCCAAAAATCAAAATACCTACTTCCATGTCGAATACTAGACCAATCGCAAAACTGCCTGAAATCTCAAAAGTGTTAGAACGACTTGTACATTTTCAGCTGTCGAGTTATCTCGATGAATGCGGCCTCCTTGATCCAAATCAAGCTGGGTTTCGAAAAGGCCACAGCACGCAAACCGCCTTGCTTAGCGTCCTTGACAGTGTGAGATCTGCGATTGATTCAGGTATGGTCACATTACTTATACTTTTTGATTTCTCTAAAGCTTTCAATTGCATCTCCCATAGACTTCTCTTACACAAGCTTCGCAAATTTAATTGTGATAACATCGTGATAAAGTGGTTTCATAGTTACCTATCTGAACGCAGACAAGCTATTTCGCTAGATGGTGTGGCTGTTTCGGGATGGCATACTCCTTCGACAGGGGTCCCTCAGGGGAGCGTATTAGGTCCACTCCTTTTTCTAATATACATTAATGATTTGCCGGCTCTTTTCAACAATTGCAACTATAAGATTTACGCTGACGATCTCCAAATATATCTCTCATGCCTTCCTAAAGATTTGCCCACTGGGGTCGAAGACGCATCCCGGAATGCAGAGTCTGTAGCACGTTGGTCAAATGAGAATCAACTTCGCCCTAATCACAAAAAGACTAAAGTCATGATATTGGCTAGCTCCAATTGTCTTCGCACATTTGATCTCAGAGATGTCTCGAAGGTTACGATCAATGGGATGGAGCTTGAATATGTGACTGAGGTCAAGAATTTAGGTCTTTGGCTTACTCCTTCACTAAATTGGGACCGACATGCTACATATGTCTCCGGAAGAGTTTTCCGTTCGCTCTATTTACTGAAACATTACACACATGCACTCTCATTCCCTAATCGAAAACAGCTCGTTGAGAGTCTTATATTTCCACTGTTCGATTATATGTCCACAGCCTACCACTCCATCGACTCAGTGTCTAATCTCAAGCTTCATAGGGCATTAAATGCGTGTGTTAGGTTTGTATTTGGTAACATCAACCACTCCTCGCGTGTTACACCTTTTCGTATAGCATTGGGCTGGCTATCGGTTGGTCGTCGACGCGACTATTTTCTAGGATATCAGTCATACTTTTTTATAGCATCTTCTCACCCACAATACTTATCATCTCAATACATTCATACAACTGACCTTAATCATCTTCGTCGATCTGCCCGGCAGCCTAAAGAAGCCCTAGTATGTCCAAGATTCCACACTGAAACCTACAGGCACTCATTTCTCATCCAATCCACTCTCCTTCTAAACTCGCTGGGCATTACAGTTTTCGACACAAGGTTAAAAAATAAATTTCAAACATTTCTGTTTAATAAATTGCTTGATTCTGATTCTCAAGATTGGAACCGCGAACAAGGCATTATCTCATGACTCTAAAAACTTTTAAAATTATTTTTAACAAAAACAAACTTATACAATCTTACAATAGCTACAATAGTGTTAAAATAAGTCTAATCAATAACGTTAAATTTATTTATTGCCAAATTATACGATTGTTACTATTACCAATTTTATTAATTATTTTGTCAATTCTAATTAAATGTATTCTGCGAACTATTACTTTTGTCATCTTCACTGTATTCTTATTCCATTGTTATTAATTATGTTCATAAATTGTTATGTATCTTATTACTCTACTAATTAACTGTAAATTATTTGAGAACCATATGGGTTATACTTCAAGGTTTGAATAAAGAATTAATCTAATCTAATCTAATCTAATCTATATACGAAGTCGTAACCACCAGAAATATATATTTATTTACATGTTTAAAATTAATTGAAGAACTTGCTCTGATCAATCTGGTTAGATGGAATTCCAACAAAAGAAAAATTACAGTCGACAATAGCACATAGTGCAGTACATTTTTAGTTATGCTTTGATTTTATGGAACAAAATCTTGATAGTTTCGATTCTCTTGTTTAATGATCGATGAGGTGAGTCCCAGGTAAATCCCAGTCTTAGGCCATCTCTCCCGAGTAGTTGAGAGGAAAAAGATGTGACTGACTTATCGGCCTCTCTCTCTTTCTGTCTCTTTCAAAGCTTTGTGAGGTGGAGGAGCAAGACGGGATAAGGGTTTTTGACCTTAGCCCCTCCACGCTCTAGTTAGGAGGTAGAAAAAAATCACTTGAACATGTTCTCTCTTTCTCTCCCTCTTGGCAGCTTTTTACAACTACGGCATTGAAAAATCATCAGTTACTTATGGTGCAATTTTCTATTGGTCTGTATGATTTTATTTGCCAAATAGCTTCTTAAAAGTTTGTAATATTATATCCAGAATGATAATTATAATTGTTTTACTGGTATTTCATTGAATCGCATTATAATTCCCAAACAACAGCAAAAGCACATAAGATTTTAAGTAAGAAGATTGTAGTAGAAAAAAAAAAATATACGTCACAAAGCATGCAAAAAATTTCTTGTAATAAATAATTTATTATAGATTATGCATTTGCAAACAAATTTTCTCACTACATGATTCTAGGATAACTGACAAACATCGATTTAGAAATTTCAGAAAACGGCTATAAGTAAAATCCTACAACTAACAGTAAGACAAAATTTATATTTGTGAAATTTAATCGATAAGAAATATAAAAAAAACTGGGTTAAATATATACATAAACAAAGCGTTATGTGCCACAAACAATAAAAGAAAAGCCCTTTCACAGAACAGATAGACGATTGAAATGTATAGCAAAGAGATAAATTAACGAAAAACTTACTTGTCTCGTGTGTATCTCCAAGTGACTGTTTTTTTCTGACGTTCTCTGTTCCACAAGTGCAGATTTTCACAATGGAAATTTGCAAGTAAGAGTAAACGCAAATAATAAACTGAGGAAACAATGTTTACAATAACGAATTTACTTCGACACTTGTAAAGGAAACACTGAATGTAACAAGCTTACTACTCGAGATTTCAACAAATATAACTTTGCACGACCTCTGTTCGGTCTTATAAATATATTTATATGATGAACAATTTCTCAACTGTTTTTAAATAGTTTTTTAATAGCTCTACTGAATAACTCCAATCATCAACGCGCGTGGCTCCCCCCTCCACCTCCCGAGGCATACGTCAGGGTGAGGGAGGGAGAGATATAACCTATGGCTTTCCCCTCCATATCAGAAAAGGGGTTGGGCCAGCAACCCCCGTACAATAGAGAATTTCTCTTCTGTCGCTAGGAGAGGTGGGATGGTGGTGGAAAAATTTGTATGGCTTACCTAATTTTGTTTTAGTTTAACGCAGTTAGCTACTACATTAATAAAAAAATTATTATTTTTTTTTACGAATTGACAAAATTATTATTATTTTAAACGAGAATCTTTATGACTACAATAATAATACTCCAAGGAAAAAGAAATAGAAGATAATTATTTCAAATAAATAATGACAGAAATAAATAAATTTTTTACTGTCTATAAAATTTTCTATGGTCTTGTCCACATCTAATCTTAGACATAATTTTATAAGTTTCTGGGAATTGGGACTTTTGTAGTTGTAAAATGAGATTCTGTAGTTGGAGGTTCTTTTCAAGACCATCTAACAAGTCCTACACGAGACATGACTCAAAATATTTTTTGATTTTGGACCAAACATTTCGTACCATTTCTCGGGTCCCGCACATGTTTGATACACATTTACATACATACACATGAATACGCGTACTTACGTACGTATATACGTGGTAGGCACTTATTGAAACACTTTTGTTTTATATTGGAAATCATTTTTGCCTAGAATGATTTTTACTATATGATAAGTGGTAAATAGTGTACAATCCACGAAAGGAAGCAAAGAAATTCTCAGAGAACCTTTTTGTCAAATTTCTGTGATCCGAGACTTTCTTTATTTTTCTTCC